AAGCTCAGATTGTCCACAAAAATGGATAATTTTGGAAGAGAAGATACGATTATTCGAGCCTTGCAGATGTGTATAAGAGACAGCAGTAATGTCTCTCTAATTGAAGCTCAGATTGTCCACAAAAATGGATAATTTTGGAAGAGAAGATACGATTATTCGAGCCTTGCAGATGTGTATAAGAGACAGCAGTTACTGAGACTAGTGGAATTCATTTTCCGAATTTTTGGGAGCACCCTATACATCGTATAAACAGCATACGCTGTATCTACAAAAATGGACAATTTAGGTAGAGAAGATACAATTATTCCACTTCCCAAATTGTCCATTTTTCTGCACAATCTGAGCGTCAGTTAGGGAGACATTATTGTATAGTCTACGAATTCGGTAGGCGATACAGAAAGAATTTATGTGCTGGCAAGTGAAACAAGGATGGGCTGCGATGAGACAAATGGAATTCCTGTGATCCGTGATCTTATAAATGGGACACAAGCTCACCTATCGTCAAACAAATGGGATATTGATCCAGTCCACAATTCATGTAAGTAGCACGGGAATGTGATACAGCCTGACCAGCGGAATAGCGATGTTCTACGGTCATACAAATGCGACATATCTATGGTCAGACAAACGGAATAAGATCTATATCTATGCGGAGGCAAATAGCCTATCGATCCGATCTACGTCATCTGTAAGCAATGTAGAAATAATTTATCGCCTGTCAAGTGGGATAAGGATGATCGTAGGTCGGACAAGTGAAATCCCAATTGAGACGTACATCACCAATTGGACGTTAATTGGAGTCACGCAAGAGAGTCTATGGCATTTCGGTCTATGGTAAAAAATGTAGAATACAAATATTTTATAATGAGATAAGTGAAATAGAAACTGTGTATATTCGGACAAATGGCCCAGAAAATACAAATGGTCAAATGGTCGGACAACGATGATACGGCCAGCTGGTCCGTGGTCATGCAAGTAGAATATGTATAACCTTAGGTCAGACAAGTGGAACATAGACGTTCCGTGATCAAACGAGTAGGATATGAATAATTTATAACTCGTCGAACCTGGCCTCGCGATCAAACAATGGAGATATGGAGATTTGTAATCAAACAAGTAGAATAGGACAGCCTGCGATCAGACGCCCGTCCCAGGATAATTATACGGTCACGCAAGTAAAGTAGGATAGAGTACATACTCGAACAAAAGGCAATAAATAACATCTGCAATTTAATACAGAACAGTTGGTCAGCTTTTGATCGGACAATGGAAATGCAAGGCGAATCGCAGCGATACAAATAGAATGACACAGAGGTGCTGCAAACAGCAGATTTATGCAAAAGAGTGTTCGCCGTGCTAAAAGGTATCGAACTTCTCCATTCGATACAAATACAGGACTTTTATTTAATTACCAACCAACGTGGTCGCCGATAAGACGTCTCAATTTTTCGAGAATTTGTCTAATTATGTAAACGTTCTCTAAACTGTGCATTACTCGGAGAATCAAGACGGCAGTTTAGGATGCATCTATGGTCATCCTGCTCGCAGACCTCCTCCCGCTTGATTTACAGCCGGGTGCCAGGACTGCGGGGGATGGGGGCGAAACTAACCGGTATACGCGCTGGAGGTGCACCGGGCGAGGCAATCTAATTAATGTATACACACCGGAAAGTTTCTCCGCAATCTCCCGTGGCCATCTTTTCGGTTAATATACTCGTCGCCGGCGCGGGAACCGTGAAATGCCTACTCTCGCAGAAATCCCGCAGTCTTTCCCGGGGACGATGAAATTTGCTTGTGACGGGTCAAGAGATAGCCGAGCCGGCGGCAAGTCGGCGGCGTCGCGGCTAAACGACTCGATGATCGCGCTTCCAATGGGAACGAGCCTTGGCCATCGCCGTCGGCGACCGGTTCGTGACGAAACACGCTGCGCCGAGAACCGTCAAATTAATTTATTCGTGCCGGGCGGCCGGGCCGCGCGATCCGGAAACTCCGACGACTGAGGATTATGGGAGCCCGCGGGTCCACAGCGCGCCGTGTTCATGGTAATGCCTCGACAGGCAAATTCCAGGAACCACGAACTTTACTTTACGTGTCCCCCCTTTACTAATATCGCGTCCGAGGTTCACGGTTGCGTGGACACGGCGCGCCACGGTGATCTGTAAACCAATCAGCTGCGAATTCGCCCATTCAGAGAAATAATTCCATATTTCCCGGAGACGGAGAAGGTGGCCGAGGGACGGACGGAGCACCGGCGTAATTCCAATCGATCACACGTACCGAATATTCGGTGCCGCGTTCGAGGAAAATTGTGTCGCTCGAACAACGAGTGCCTCGCCGCGCTTATGCTGCATTACACCGTCTCGTCTTTCGATTCAGGCTCGAACCGCGGTCCATTTAAACGACATTAATTGCGAGAGTCTGTGCAACGTTCCTTCGGCTTCGAATTATTAATATTCGTTTCACGGACAAAGTCCTTAACCGAGTAAGGAATTTTATGTAAAAATGCGAGCGACGTGAAAATGGATTGTAAGACGTATAAAATTGTAATGATTAATGATCAAATGGATAACTAAGCGCAGCTCCGCTTCTGATCGATAAATCCGTCAAGCGAGAAGATCCTCGATGCTTCTTACGATCGCCGACACTCGATCAAAGAATTTATTCGACGAGAGGAACGCGCGTTCGTGTCTCGGAGCCGTCTGACGCTGAATCGCGTCCTCGACTCGACGTATTTCACCCTCGGCCCTGTATCGCGGATAGGGACTGGAACAAGCATAGCGAAACCCCGGGAACACTTCTTCGTATATTTAAGGGCTCGGAGGGTCACAATTCACGGCCGGATCCTTTTTTCCCATTGAGCCGCCAGGACCTCGAGCAAGCGGAACGAATAAAAGACGAAACGGAGTCGTGGATTCAAAGAGCGATCCTCTTTCCGGTGAAAAGAATTTCTCGAGTTTCCATCGTTTTCGCAGGATTATCGAAAACGGTCCTTAAAATAGAGACGGAGACTTGTAACTTGTTTTTCCGCGCGCACGCGACGTTATCGAACGACGATATTTTTCTTTAACAGCGTCCACGTTTATTCGCTGCCCGATTACCGACGCGATGAACGAATCTTTGAACGCGCAGTTAAATATGTAGGACGGTAATCGTACAGTATCCGGCAAAAAGTATAGGAACACCAATTAAAACACGGAACAAAATTTTTTTAAACGGGACTAAATTATTGGAACTATTTTTTTAATGTCAAAGGGACTACTGTACGATAACTGTGATACTTTTCTTTCATTTCGCTGTTACTCGAAACGACGGAATTAAAATGAAAATCTCCCGTTTTTTAACCTTTTTATCCTAACGTCCTTTTATCCTATACCTTAATCCTTTTATCCTACATGCGAACGAATAAATATTGCGAAAATCGCAGTGATTTTTTTACGGACTTCGACTTAATACCTAAAGTATTTACATCTTCTTGCAGCTTGATCGTATGCGTCGAGCGATCTCGGCGAGACTTTTCGCGGCCGTTTTATTATTTTTTAATGCGAGCGCGCAGGCTCGCCGGAATTGTTTATAACGTCGATAGCGATAGGGCATCCATCTTGTCGGACGCGGGAATTACCGGCGCATCGAAGGGCTGTCCGAGAATTTCCTTGCGCCCGGATCATGCTCGTGTCGTCGTTCATCAACATTTGTTTTGATTCATACACGATCCGGCGGCTGGCTAATAGAGACCGCGTTAAAACTACAAACTGTCGGCAGCGGCGGCGAGATTGATGGAAGGGTTGCTCGATATTTCCCCGGATAGATTGTTTCCGTGTTGCGGACACCGATCGGGATCAAACAAGAATATTAACAGTGTTACAGGCCATTTAGGGCCGACGCTGGTCCCGGTTGACGCTTTGACCGCCGTGTCACCCACATACGGGTCGCCGTTCTTGGTTCAAAGCTAAATATTAGTCTTTCCTCGGCTACAGTCGGCGAAACAATCGACAACAATGCCACTGCTGAGCAACAATACGTGCAACGTGACCAAAATAAATCTGCTTTGTACGGATCGTTCGTTTTCCCGGTTGGAAATGCTCCGACCGTGTTTGCACACGTTCCTTCGAGTTCGCGCAAACATATTTCTGGCAGATTTCGCGGGGATCGATTGTGTTTGTCTCACGGCGGTATATTTTAAGCACCGACAATGCCTCGTCCGGTCCCGCTTCAGATTTATTATACCGTGGCTTTCGTGCATTTACGACAAAGATCGGAAGCTCGAGTAAATTCGACTCGTCCGATCGTTTCGGCGCTACACGGTCGTCGTAAAATAATTGTTTCCCGTAACCAGGGCAGATCTTCGAAATGCCAAAAAGCGTACGAATTAACGAGAGATCCGATAGCGGTTTTATTTCCACCGTGCAACGAGCGGTTTCGACAAAGGAAACTTTCCATTAGTCTCATTTCGCAAAAATGACACGTTGAAATGAGAATTCTCGCGCGAACGCGTTCTGTTTGCCACCGAAATTTCGCTGCGAAATAAAATTCTGCTACCTCGATTACAAACGAATCGGGTTGAAAGCAGACGCGGAAAACCCGCGGTCCCGTTGCAACGTTCAACGTCGCGATGCAACGTGTAGCATGTCGGACATCGCGAGACAATTAGACGGAGTCGGTGGTAAGATTTTCGCGAAAGTTTTATGGTGGTCGGTCAGCAGGGGGAAGCCTCTAACGATGCTCGACGATGTTCCTTCCTGTTTGCTTTGTTCCCGGGACGGCCAAACACCGCGGCGAGAAGATGAACAGTCGTTGTAGCAATTTTCCGGGGCCGTTCCGGTACGAGACACGCATAAATATTTGACGCGGCGATAGCGGGGGCGGAACGGGGCTAAGTAAAGTCCAGGGGAAAGCCTCTTAACGAGGATTCCCTGGTGGTACGGGGCCGGAGGCGGCGGCGCGCCGGCTTAAGCCTTGTTCGACCTCGGAACGATTGCTTTGATTTAATGCCTGTTTTTCAGAGTATCCGACGGCGGTCACCGCGGAGATAGTCGCCGCGAACGTGAACTCGTTGGACGAGGCCGTCACCGTCGACGTCGATCTGCCGCCGACGCTGCCGATGAGCTTCCGCACGGAGAACTCGACCGTCATCTCGGCGCAGTCTAAATCCACGGCCATGCTGCCTTGCGTCGTCCAGAATCTCGGAGACGGAATGGTAGGAGATTTCTTTGAAGCTATTATTATTTATTGATAGACTGGCCGGCCTCATTCGGCAAGCATCTTAACCAGTTAGCTGTGACGCCTCATTTACAAAGCGCGCACCTATATGTGTCGCGAGAATCAAGCGATGACGAGTATACTCGTCAAACACAGTTAACTGGTTAATACCGTCTTGTCCAGCTGCGTCTGATTGTCCTCTTACTGACATCGCGAGCTTGTTGAAAGAGAATTTTAGACGACGATAGCTGAGATTGAAATATAACAGGGGGTTGTATTGTTTAAAATTTGAGGAAGAAACAGGTCAGATAGGTGGAATAAGCGTAGTGTATAGTCAGACGAGTGGACCAGATGCGGTTTGTAGTCGGATAAGTGGAACAGATACGCCCTATGGTCAGACAAATTGAACAGAGACTATCTGGAATTGCAGAAGTCTTGTGAACGGACAAGTAGAACAAGCGTGCAAAGCCGGACAAGTGAAGGTATTGCTATCTAATGTCGGACAAGTAGAATAAGGACGACCTGTGGTCGGACAAATGGAAAGGAAACTGTCGAGAGTAGAGCAGTTCGATTACAGACCTATTTACAGATTAAATATATATTGTATAGGGTTACAATGTATAGCCAGGCAAGTAGAAATGGTACATCCTACGGTCAGACAGTGGAACAGGAACAGACTATAATGAAACAACGATAAGAAATTTAAGGTACGGTCAGACAGGTGGAATGTAGGTCTAGTCTGCGATTAACCACGTGATATAGGGATGAGTTGTGGTCAGACAAGTGGAATAGACGCGGTTTAGGACCAGACAGGTGGAAGGGAAGCGGTCTAAGGTCAACAAGTAGACTATGATTTACGATCAGACAGATTGAGCGGATGCTGCCTGCATGCTTTCTCTCCTTTCTCTGCCGTTATTTATCGGAGAAACGACTCTTCTCGTCTTAAATAATTTTTCGCTTCCGAAATATGGAGGAACCGAATTTTAAATTCGCAACGGCATTCGTCGGCATCTCGGAAGGGTTGATTCATTTAAAATTAGGAGAAAAGTTCGGCAACATTCAAAGTCGGAAGAGTTTACGTATTCCAGTTGGTTCGTAAACAAACATAAAATTATTCAAGGAACTTCGCGAAAATGTATTAGCTACAGGGTCGAAAGGCAGATTTTTGTTTCCCAGCGGGCGCGAACTTATTATCGCGCGCACGTAATAGCTCCGGGGTTGGACTTCGGGGATGCGTCGGAGGGTGGAACGGTTTNGAACTCGTTGGACGAGGCCGTCACCGTCGACGTCGATCTGCCGCCGACGCTGCCGATGAGCTTCCGCACGGAGAACTCGACCGTCATCTCGGCGCAGTCTAAATCCACGGCCATGCTGCCTTGCGTCGTCCAGAATCTCGGAGACGGAATGGTAGGAGATTTCTTTGAAGCTATTATTATTTATTGATAGACTGGCCGGCCTCATTCGGCAAGCATCTTAACCAGTTAGCTGTGACGCCTCATTTACAAAGCGCGCACCTATATGTGTCGCGAGAATCAAGCGATGACGAGTATACTCGTCAAACACAGTTAACTGGTTAATACCGTCTTGTCCAGCTGCGTCTGATTGTCCTCTTACTGACATCGCGAGCTTGTTGAAAGAGAATTTTAGACGACGATAGCTGAGATTGAAATATAACAGGGGGTTGTATTGTTTAAAATTTGAGGAAGAAACAGGTCAGATAGGTGGAATAAGCGTAGTGTATAGTCAGACGAGTGGACCAGATGCGGTTTGTAGTCGGATAAGTGGAACAGATACGCCCTATGGTCAGACAAATTGAACAGAGACTATCTGGAATTGCAGAAGTCTTGTGAACGGACAAGTAGAACAAGCGTGCAAAGCCGGACAAGTGAAGGTATTGCTATCTAATGTCGGACAAGTAGAATAAGGACGACCTGTGGTCGGACAAATGGAAAGGAAACTGTCGAGAGTAGAGCAGTTCGATTACAGACCTATTTACAGATTAAATATATATTGTATAGGGTTACAATGTATAGCCAGGCAAGTAGAAATGGTACATCCTACGGTCAGACAGTGGAACAGGAACAGACTATAATGAAACAACGATAAGAAATTTAAGGTACGGTCAGACAGGTGGAATGTAGGTCTAGTCTGCGATTAACCACGTGATATAGGGATGAGTTGTGGTCAGACAAGTGGAATAGACGCGGTTTAGGACCAGACAGGTGGAAGGGAAGCGGTCTAAGGTCAACAAGTAGACTATGATTTACGATCAGACAGATTGAGCGGATGCTGCCTGCATGCTTTCTCTCCTTTCTCTGCCGTTATTTATCGGAGAAACGACTCTTCTCGTCTTAAATAATTTTTCGCTTCCGAAATATGGAGGAACCGAATTTTAAATTCGCAACGGCATTCGTCGGCATCTCGGAAGGGTTGATTCATTTAAAATTAGGAGAAAAGTTCGGCAACATTCAAAGTCGGAAGAGTTTACGTATTCCAGTTGGTTCGTAAACAAACATAAAATTATTCAAGGAACTTCGCGAAAATGTATTAGCTACAGGGTCGAAAGGCAGATTTTTGTTTCCCAGCGGGCGCGAACTTATTATCGCGCGCACGTAATAGCTCCGGGGTTGGACTTCGGGGATGCGTCGGAGGGTGGAACGGTTTTACCGTTTCTTTTCGGGCCGGAATCGGGCCTGCTAACACGGTGGCTTCGCGCGAATTAAATGTTTTGTTATATTTCTTCCGTCGATTAGTGATTTATTGGACCCACCCCCCGTTCGAGGGGTTGGGCGTATCGATTTTCCTCGCACGCTCCGAACGAATCGTGTGTACAATTTGTCTGTTTGATCTGATCCCAACTCTCGGTACTCCATTGATGAGCACTGGAAAACTTTTGCGGATTTATTTGATGGTCTCTGTTCCAGCGAAAATAAAGACAGTTTTCCCGCCATTATTAACTTTCCACCCTCGAAACTGTTTTAGTTGTAGAAATTTCGTAGAACCCGGTCTCCGGAGGTTTTTACAGAAAAAATTAAACCGTTCGAAATTTCTCGTAACACGCTGAAATCGACGATTTAACAACCCATTGCCGCGGCAAGCGATTAAATGATAACAAATTTCGTAATATTAAAATTGTTTCCAATTATGCGAGAATTCCAATAGTGCTTCAGAATCGCCAATCGAGTTCAAAGCGTGGATATGAACAATAACTCGCGTGGAACAACATTTAAATTAATATACATTCATTTGAATTAATATATAAAGTTACCTAAATTAATATAAACTCGTATAAGTTTGTATAAACGCGTCTAAATTAATATAAACTCGTCTAAATTGATAGAAACTCATCCGAATCAATATAAATTCGTCGAAGTTAATATAAATTATCGGCAGTACGTCTATCCCAGTCGAGTTTTATATTATTTCGATCCCACAAACGCGAATCGCGGGCTTAATAACTGCAGACAGACAATGATCAGGACATTTCCGTGGCTTTCGATGCTTCGCGGATTAATTTAGAGAAACAGGGGGTTACCGGTTCGTGCCGATGCGGATATTATTTTGTTAAAAGGAGACCGAGAACGCCGGCATTGTGCTCTATAAATGCCGACGATCCGTCTCGTGCCGTGGCTGTAAAAGCGTGACCGACGAGGAAAAAACTACTCGCGTCTCTGCATAGGGATCCGATGTCGTCGCCACGGGGTCGATGGGGTCGGGGAGGGACAAGGGGGGGTAGGGCGAGTATTATATTCGTCCGCGCGGTACAGATCCTTTTAATTTGCCCCCGGTATTACAAGTGCGGACGATGGGAACGACGTCGGAGACACGTACAAGGGGCTTCGAAGGAAGATTTAATTGAAGTAAGGAGCGCCGAGAGAGGGTCGCCGGTTCAGTTTTGTCCGGGCTCGGCCTAACAGAGGGTTTATTCGCGGACCGCGGGATGAAATGGGATTAAAAGCTGGAGAGCCGAGCAACACAGGATTTTTAACGGTTCCATCGCCGCGCTCGCCCCTCGCCTCCTTGTTTCCATCGCATTGTTTTCGATAGGGGCTTTCACGGGCCACGATAACAGCTAATAACTGGCAGTGTACCATGGCCATTTTGTCCGGCCCGAGGAGGTCGTCGAAAAATGGACGCAGCTCAGGTATCGCGCGCGCGGCTTTGACCAGTCTCCGACGAGACGATTCGCGCAAATACGCGACGATTAAGAGGTTCAGAATACGCGGAGGCCGGGACGAAATGAAACGAAAATAAATAATTGTCCTGAAAAAGCTGTATGGTAACGTCTCCCTAACTGGCGCTCAGATTGTCCACAAAAATGGAGAAAAAAAGGAACAACTCAACAAAATGTCGAGAAAAAGGAACAACATTTTTTTTTAGAAAGCTCGCAACAGCTAACTGGTTAATGAAATTTCCTCCGAGAAGAAAAGATTGGAGCGAAGACAGATCTCGCGCGGGCTATCCCAGCGAAAGAGTTTGGAAGTTGCGGAACGAGGTACCTGCGATTGCCTTCGTTAAACAAAGTAGCTTCACCTGGCCGGCCTGGTTCGCGGGAATTAGCCAGGAAACGGGAGCTCCGTTTCGCGATACCTCGAAGCGGAGATTCGAAGTTTCGCTCCTTTGCCGGCTGAAGAATGTGTCTGTTTTCCGTGGAATTTTTCTCAATAGAGACTATAAGCCGGGAACTTTCTTACATGCCCCCGGTCCGGGCGTCTTTATAATTGGAAAAAGTCCCGGTTCCCGGCGAAACAAAAGTTCCGCGATCCGCGCCGCGGGTGGGAAACGTAACGAATTTGCTTAGGCTAATTGGCGCGCGGAATTCGAACGGAACAGAGCCAGAGGAAGTGCCGCGATCGAACGGCACCGGTAAATCCGGGCGAGCTCAAAGCGATTTTTCCTGCCGGATCTAGAATTTTTTTCGAGGAAAACGAACGTTGGATTTCAAGCTTCCTATGGGGGTCTCGTTACACGGATTTCAAACCGTGCGACCGCACTTTTTTTTCTCGACCTGCTACGCAAAATGGCGGCGCTACGGTCGATTCTTTAACCATTCCGACTGGTGGGCGGTAACTTGCAATTTCATCGTTGGACAGAGATTTCCCGTCGAACGAGGCGAGAAATATTTTTTACGTTCTTCGAGATCCGTAGAATGGTAGTGAGAATTTTTCGGTAAAATCATGGGTTACAGAGGAGTCTGCTGTTATATTTATGTCCGGACGATGGAGGATTTCGAGAAGTTATCGTCGTGCAAATTACCGAATGCCGGTGTGCAAGCGTAAAATGTTAAGCGGTCCCTAAACCGAGGAGTGCAAGCGTAATAAATGAAAGCCAATATCTTTTGATCCCGCCTCGAAAGCGGAAGAGAACGCTCGTCGACTCAAAGAGAACCGCTTGATAACCGTTCGTTGTCTCGCAGTCGGGATTCCGTACGAAAGAACAGAGGCAGTCGAGGGCGGCCCGCTTAGTTAGGAATTAATGCTTCATAACGAAATTCCATAATGCATAGGCACCCCGCCGGACGCGCCGGTTTTCATAAACGCGGGGCGAAACGCGGGGCGCAGTCGTGCGACAGTTCCACGCGCCACCGCGCCGGCTTGAAAAGTGTGTAGCTTACCGTTTCATTAAGCCGCGTTTCCACCTCGCCGCTATGTGTTTTGTGTGTAAGCATTCCGCGTTACGGGCAATTAGCCCGGCGAGGACATGTTCGGGCCAGCGGGGCGAGGCCGGGGGAACGGGGTACGTGTCCGAATTAATATTATCAAGATACACTGGCCCGTCCGACCAGCGACCGCACGTACACTGCTCTAAGTATCGGACACCTCCGGATTTACACCATTATTTATCCGCTGCACCAACAATATCGTGAATTACGGAACTGCCTGCGACGCTGTCGGAGTTCAAGTGATTATTTTCACTGCACGCCCCGACGGATCCTCCCGGAAAATCACGATTTCTCGGGCTACTCGATGGAAACGTTCGTTGCCGGACTCCTTTTGTTGGCCCGCAAATGTTGATTGCCTCGGGATTTAATTACGATATTAGGCATGTTATACATTAAGAGTGAGATGATTCGAATTTCTATCTCTTCGAAGTGCGGTAAATTCTTTCTAATCGACGCTCGGATTGTGCACAAAAATGTACAATTCGGGAAGAGAAGACACGATTATTTTATAGTTATTGACAATCGGTAATTATAAAAACCGCTGCGATGCTCGAATAATCTCCTCTTCCCAAATCGCCCATTTTTCTGCACAATCCGAGCGTTAATTGGGGAGAATTTACCGTAGTCATAGATGAAAATATCGATTGCTTTGTTTCCAGATGAAGTTCCGTTTCTACAAGATTTACAGCATTACTTTAACCGTTGTTGCAACAATGTTCGATATTATGTGACCGGAGGCGACGTG